CTATGAATATAGCTGTATGGACAGCACAGAAATGTTTAATAAGCAGGTGACTGTTAAAAGAAATTTTGGTAAAAGGAAACCTAGTGTGTACCAGAGGTCTCTTTATTGGCAGTGACAGCTTTTGGTAATGTCTCAGATACCTAAATTAGGAAGGTATACAAGATGTGCTGCAGTGTGAAAGAAGAATGGGCTCCTGCCTGTCAAACCGGTCTCTGGTTTTGTGAGTGCACCTCACTTCCTGACTCATCTTTGCCCTGCTGACTTGTAGCGCTATTTTCTTTCTTGTTTAGAATCTTCATGTCGTTTTTAGAAGATCACATCATCATATTCAAGTCTTTGTCATTTAAATTCCTTATGAAACAGTGCAGGTAGTACAGAATATAAGGAGTGTGCTGCTGTCAGTGTTGCTGTGGCCATGGCAGCAGCAAGGGAGTTTTCAGGACTCACAAGACTTAATTGACCTGTTCACACATCTAACTTGGATCAGAGATGTTGTCCTAGTTCTCTAGAAGCACAAAAGATGTCAATAAACATTTATATGGAGCTGCTGGAAATGAAGCCAGAACTAGGTCTGAAATACAAGGCTAGTGCCCAGCTCTGTCACAAGAAGTTACTTATGGCCCAAGTCTTAACCTCTGGAGCTCAAGTACATAGAATGGGATAGGCTGGAAGGGACCTCAGAGATCATCTAATCCAACCTCTCTGTTACGGCACTGGTCTTGTGTTTGTTTTTACCTTGTCAGGTAGGTGACAGTACGTGTGGTTAGCTTTAATGCTTTTTCATGGGTCCTGAAGCTGGATAATATTGAGGTGCTTTAAACTTCATCCGTGTGAGGAGCAGACTGCTAGCACTTTACTGCTGACCTCTACTGCATGTGATTTCCAGCACATAGTATTTAATACTGCATACACTAATCCAGGCTTAATGTGGAAGAGGAGACTCCATTAGATGAGTTGTGTAAATGCTTGATACACTAGGAGCAGGAAAGGGCATTTTGTGGGATTACATGTTGACACTTAACCCGGCAGTGGTCTGCAGTCCCTGCTCATGTTGGATTTCTTGCAGGTTCAGTGCATGGCGCAGTTGGCAGCGGGCTCACAGGAGCACTGAGCAGCTGTGGTTTCCCGTAGCCACTGTAAAAGCTGCTGCTGCTGCTGCTCCTGATTTTTGCAAATCAGGTCAGTTGTGGTGCTGGTGGCTTTCCAGTGGTGCTGGTGGCTTTCCAGGAAATGCGTGCTCCTCCCACTGTGGCCTTTCTGCGGTGGGCAGAGGGCAAGTAGGATGGATGCACTGTTCCTGCCCTTGCTGCCTAGAAACCAGGGCTCTAGGTTTTGTCAGCTTGAGAAGAGTAGAAGAAATTGGTGTTAGACTGCAGAAGTGTCATGTGCGGCGAGGCTGGAATAAACACCGAATTTCTAGACAGCTGAAGCTAGGAGGGAATCCTCCCTGCATTAATGCTCCCCACTGAGAGGAAGATGATATTAATATGTAAGTGTCAATTCAAGTGCATGGCAAGATCTCTAAGTCTCCAGAAACAAAGTCACTGTTGTCACTACTCCCAACAACTGAATCAGGGCTTCAATTCAGTGGCTGGTATGAACATTAGGTTTGTATTTTCAGTTAAATAATATAGTATCTAGTAAGACCTCTGTCTTTCTGGCGTAGGTGGATTTCACTATGGCTTTACCTTGTCCAAATAGAAGAAGAATAGCAAACCTGTGAAGTGCAGGCTCTAATGGCAAATGCATGGGTAATTAAACAGGAAACAAAGTGACTATACTGGTAGCAGTATTCTCAAAATATGTGTGGTGATGTGACTTGTACTTGTACTTGACTTGCGCTGTAGCTGTAAATGCCTGTAAAAAGCTGACTTTTTGGCCAGGCTGGTCTATTCAGCGTAACATCACAGGAGGTTATTCTTTTTTTAGGGACTGTACATATGACTAGTTACAAATTGATGACTCTGGTTTCCATCTTCCTGGCTACTGAGTGCGTTCTGTGGTGTCAAAATAGCTGTGACGAGCAGGTGGGTAAAATCAGGACACTGAAATAGGATTATTTCTGTTCAGTTTAAGCTCAGCTGGAAGAGTCAAGCACACAGTGAATGCAGTAACAGTTGAGATAGCTGATTTGCCTGATACCAGTGAAATTGTAGGGAGAAAACCATACTCTGACCTCTATTAAAAAAGAAGTAAGTTTAATGTCTAATTCAGTCTTTGTATCATAACATGCCTAGAATTGGGCTTTTAGTGAAAAAAACCTGACCTGTAATTGTGGCTGTTGCTGCATCTTTGCAAGCAGTCTTGCAGCTTGTCATGGGAATTCTTGGCTTTCTTAACCCACACAGAAACTCAAATGTCATTCAGTGAGAGCAGAGTGGGTTTATGTAATTTCCCATGATTTCTCTTACAAAATAGATGCAGAGTAATTCTCTGGGACGTGTTTGTAATGCCTTGGAAAAGTGTTTAGTTTCACTTTCCAAACTTTGGATGATCTCAACTTAGGGACCTGAAAGTGATGCTTTTTTTGTTTGTTTGTAAAAAAAAATCCCTGCCTGTAATGTGGGGTTTCCTAGTTCAGTGGTTTTTGGCTCTGAAATCAGGTCTGTAGAGAGGCTTCACTTGCTTTATGCCCTAGTAGAGCATCTCAATGTGCCAAACACAAGATGGTTAGAAATGGCTTCTCAGCAGGTAACGTGACTGATTTCTCTAAATACATATGACTGGTTACAGGCAAGGTTGAGTCTCAGCTGCCTCCACAGGAGATTTTTCTAATTTTTCTGCAGTTGTGTTTTCTGACATTTTCTGCTCAAGGGGCATCTTTCATGTGGCGAAACACCGGCTTTATTTATATAATGATTGTTAGTGCGGGCAAATAGTCCTTTTCTACTAAAGGACTATGACTGAAAACAGAACTTGGAAGTTTGAAACAGTCTTCCAATATCTAAAACTTTGTCATGAGTCTGCATCACATACAGAGACCATACCCGGTGCTACAGGCTGATACCTGGTGCTACAGGCTCAACCTTTGCAGTGGTCCTCTTGAGACAAAACCTTTTGGGTCAGACAATTTGAGAGCAGAGGTTTTTTGCTGAGAGGAATGAGATCTGCATCACTGACCATGTTTTTATCCCTTATGTGTGGTAATACTGGTGCACTACTGGCAGTGTGCTTTTCTGGTTGCCTAGAAACTATACCTGTGTAGAAAGCACATGAGTTCTGCCAATAAATTTTTTTTTTTTGCAAGCTCAGTCCTGAGTTTTGTTGTCTCTTGCTTTTTCAGTCTTGGTCCTTGGGCTGTTTTATGTCTCAGATCTCAGGAAAGTGCATGTAAGCACAGGAATGGGCTTTCTTGGGAAAACCCCAGCGGTCCAGCGAGTTTGCAGCTGCATGATGCAAGTGCTTGAGCCGAAGTGAATCGGCTCTGCCTTGGGTGAATCTCTGCTCTGCTCCTGGTGCGGGGTGGTGTGTAGTAGAGTTAGGCACATCCTCCTGAGGTGATGTAGTGACAAGCGGCATTCGCTTGCTCTTCTTGGAGCAGTGCCGTTCCTGTAAACTGACCCTAAACTCTGGGCTGGGGTTGTTTAAGTGGATCGTAAATCTTTTGGCTGTGAGCATGCTGTGGCAAATGCCTGCGGGCTGAGGACTTGGGGCTCCTGTAATATACCCACATACAGTCAGTATCACGAGCAGACATGTACAGAATGTAAAGCCTTGTGAGCTGCTGAATTTGTTTCATAAAGGTGAGCGGAAAGCCTTCTTTTATTGGCTACCTGGTACTCTGACTCCATGAAATTTGGGTTATAAGAAAAAAGCACATGCTGATCTATAAGTAAAACCATAGCCAGGTACTTAATGGCTCAGTAATCTGATTTTTTTGGTTGCCTGCACCTGTTTCAGGAGTAAAACTTCCCGTAGTTTGTCCTGTTGAGCAGAGTCAGCACCCTGTGTCCACTTTAAGTGGAAGGGAATTCTGCTCTTGCCATCTGCATCTTGCTTTGGGGATCTCTTCTTGGATTTTCAGTGGCACCTGAGCCTGGCTGTGGCACAAGGGCCCGGAGATGCTTCTCTGGAGATCCTGTGCCAGTCTGGCGGTAGGACTTGGCGGGTTGAGCATTGCCAAGGGAAGAATTTGTCCTCTGCAGCGTGCAGCAAGCAATGTGTGAGTCCACCTTTCAGAGGGAAGTGTTTTTGATGCTTAATCAGGCCAGATTGAGCCTGCTTGCTGGCTTTTCTGACTGCTGTGAATGGCAGGGCAGCACCAAGAAGCTAATATGCAGTACTGGGATCTCTGTAGTCTTCCCAAAACTGACTCAGCTCAGAGTCTTGCCCCACAGCTGGTTGCTGACCACGGGAAGGTAATATTTCCTGTCATTGCCCATAAATACTTGGTTCATCAAGTTGCACTGACTTAATGAATGGACACAGGTGGTGTTAGACTTGGGAAATGCTTGTGGTTGCCAGAAATTTAGTATTAGGAATGCAGGCACATGGACTAACTTAACTCTTGTACAAGAAAGGCAAAAAAACTTTGGATCTCAGTAGTATCTAACTATTTTCCTACGCAGAAAGAGTAATTCAAAGTATTTGCACTGGCAAATGTAAAACAGGTCTGTTCGCCTTAACAAGTATCTCTAACCTGCTTCTGAACCCAGAAAGACAGGAGTAGTATCTCGAGTTCCAGCTTTTCTAATCAGTTTTACCCTGGTTAGCAACAGTTGTTGGATAGTGCTTCTTGAATTAGGATTTGGTAGGTGCCTTTTGCCTTGTAGTGCTCAGAAAACCAGCCCAGGTCAGTCATAGTGCTTAGATTATTTTTTTTTTATGGTTCAGTTAGTGTTTTGCTCATAAGTTGTGTAGAGTTATGCTGTGGGGAAATATGGGCATCAGTATATAAAATTAACAATTTAATGGCCTTCATTGAAATTGTTTTTCCAATTTTTAATGGTTGCTTGTTGATTATTTTTTTTGTTCTGTTTCCTGACTTAAATATTCTGCTTCTTTCCAGGCTCACATTAAATTTCCTATCGACTATCCGTATTCACCACCTACCTTCAGATTTCTGACCAAAATGTGGCACCCTAACATTTATGAGGTAAGCTCTTATTTAAAAAACACTTTCTAAGGGATGTGAGAAGGCTTTCTACTTTGATAAACTTCTGGAAGTATTAAAGGTACTAACTGTCTCTAGCCATAACTAAGTGTTAGCTTAGTGGTTAGCTGTTGGTATTAAATATCAGCTTCATGGCTGAATGGTTGAATCTAAATGTTGAGGAAGTGCTATTCTTGTAGGCAGAGATGGAGCCATTCTCATACCTGCAAGTGCAGCTCCAGCCAAAGCGACGTGCCATGAGTGTTGGCAGTTAGAGGACCAGGATTGGTTTGTGGGGTCTTAGCCTACTGTAATACTTAGGCAACTACTTGTTTTTCTACGTGCAAATAGACTTTAATTTGAATTTAAGTTCTTCACTATGAGGGCGGTGAGGCACTGGCACGTTTGCACAGAGAAGCTGTGGCAGCCCCCTCCCTGGAGTGTCCAAGGCCAGGCTGGACAGGGCTTTGAGCAATCTGGGCTAGTGGGGGTTGTCCCTGCCTATAGCAGGGGGTTGGAGCTAGATGGTGTTTAAGATCCCTTCCTAAACCATTTCTGTAAATGTATTCTGCAGCACTGTGTGCTGAGACAAGAAATAATGGAGAACAGCCTTCTGCAGCAGTCAGCCTCCAAATGAGGGAGTTTGGACGTGGGGTGCTCTGACTGCAGAAAGAACTGGATCTGGGATGGAGTCCAGCTTTAGGAGGAGTCGTGAACAGTCTGGCCTCCTAGGACTGGAGTGAACCAATACCTCCACACCTAATGTCTTTTAGCCGTACTGAAGGGGCCATTAGTTCAGGGCATGCATGGATCGTGTTCAGAGAGTAATGTTCTGGTCTGTCAGGTCCATAATTGGATCATCGTACGACTGTATGGCAGGTCCAGAAGGGAAATGATTTTACATAGACGCAATTGGCTCAAAATGACCAAATACTAAAGTCATATCTGAAAGCTGAAGGCCTGTTTAGGCCCAAAACTTGACCTTTAGTGAAGATCAGTCAAATCCCTGGTAAACTTCTGGATACTCTAGGTGAGTGTCAGCCTGCTGGGAGTGCTGGCTGAATAGTCTGAGGAGCTAGAGGCCTTTCAGAATCTTCCTGTTGCTGCAGGTGTTGCCTCATGACAGGTCTTCCTGTGAGAGGTTCTGCAGGCTTCCCTTGGACCCACTGCAAGACCAAAATGTTGCTTCTCTTCCTTGCTGTGATCAAATGATGGGTTTGGTTTATGCCTTCGGGCTTGGAAGGCCCTTCGCTAACAAGTTTTTGCTGCTAAATGTCCAGCCTGGAGTGAGCATGCTTGAAGTGTCATGGTGAAAACCACACAGATGGCTTGTTAATAACTGGCCAAAAGACCCTCCAAACCTGAGGACAGCAATCAGCTTTAACCAGCACACGCTCAGGAGGATTGCCTTAAGCCCAGGGACATCCTGAAATCAGTCATCTGACAGTCTTCTGACTTGAGTTTTGGACTCAGCATAGAATCTTGCATATAGCCAAGGATGGTGTTTCTCTTTAAGGCTCTATTTCAGTTACGTGGGAGGTTTGAGCTATAAATAAAGGCAACTTTGAGACCTGCAGATTATTACAGATCCATAGTGTGCGTGTTGATTCTGAGTCCAGAAATGCTCATGCAGGAGGTGAGTGGGAAATGGTTACCCAAATGGTACGTACAAAATGAGTCTTGGAAAGGACACTTCCCAGTCCTGGTGGGAAAGATGAAAAATTGGCTCTAGAAAACACTGAAAGTAGGAGGAGAAACTAACCCCAAACTCGCTGTGTGTGTACTCCAGCTCTCAGCTTTGTACTTTGTGTTCGTAGCAGTATTTCTTGGAGCTGAGGGAATATGAAGCAGCTTGCAGGCTGTTTTGGAAACAACATTTAAGCAATGAAGATGAGGAACTGGGATAATTCCAAATGAAACTGAGAATAAATCAGCAAAGGGCTTGAGGTTTGAACGTTTGTCAGGAGGATAGGAAAAAAATCTTTCAGTGCAAGAAGGTGAAAGAAAGAAGCATTTACAGAATCTGCTGGTGAAGCCAGATGGAGAGGTTGGGGCTGACATTCCAGTTCTGAGCAATGAGACTTTCAGTTTTGTGTTTTCCCCATCTCCAGTTTGGATCATCTAGTTCACTTTTGAGAAAACTGCATTCATTTGTTCTTTATGACAACGGTTTCCAGTCCTGTAGAAGTACAGGCTGTTTCCCATTGGCAGATGAATACTCTATCCTCCTTGTTTATATCTTTGAAAATAAGGCTCTCCCCTTGACCGGGCTGATCCCTAAAGCCTTGTGCTGATCTCGTCAGGCCCGGTGACACCTTTACCCTTCCTGACTCCGTAATGCAGTGCTGCCCTGCCTGAATTCCCAAACGGGTAACGCTGAGCGTTGCAAGAGGGACACTTCTTGCATCCTTGCTTCCCTCTGTATTTTCGTATTGCCAAATTACCTGCTCGTCCACCTGCTGCTGACCTGATCGCTCCAGGAACTCCCTGCAAGTGCTGTGATGCTTTCTCCTGGCCACCAGCACTCTGTTATCCTGGAGGATGGTTAGAGGAAAAAAATAGGTAAACTCATGGAAGTTACTGCTAAAACCAGAATAGGCTGTGAATGTAATCTAACATTAGTAAGTTTAAATTCACCTTAAAATGATACTAAAAAATAATTCTAGATTACACAAGCCTGTTGGAGTCCTAAAAAGCAAACTGCCTTGTTATGGAAAACTGTTCCAGCAGTCTAAGTGCATGCTTGGGTGTTCAGCAGCTCCAGGTGCTGTGTTGCTGTGTGTAGTTGTGTTCTTGACAAAAACCTGCTTCACAATGGCGAGGGCTTGCTAGATTGGCACACCTGGCAGGGTTAGTGAGCAGCTGGAATCTGGATACCAATCACAAGTGTTCAGTGTTGAGGTAAGATCTCGTTTGGCTATAAAACACTTGTCACTTGTTTAATCAAGTCGAGCTGGAATGCTTGAGAAGCCCTTCAGGTGAGCTGCTTGCTCTCTAGGTGTGATCGCTGGCTCTCAGAGGCAGGGACGCTTTTGCTGTGAGCAGCTCTGCTTTGTTCTCCAGCTCCGCTGCATCCAGCAGCGTTGGAGGGTGCTCAGAATGTAGCTGAGACCCGGTGCATGGGGTGCTGCCAGCCTGCAGTCTTATCCTCAGCTGCTCTCTCGTTCCTGTCACCAGCGTGACAAGGGACAGCGTGAACCCTGCCTGTCAGCTGGGGCTGCACCGCCTGAAGGGGCTGCCCCTGCACACTTGTAAGACATCCAAACAGGGCCTGGAGGGGCCAACATCTGCTGTCAGGCCTTGGGCCCCATCTGCACCTTCACCCTATGCTGCAGCAAGGTGCTGGGACCCCTGAGTCCCTGGAGCCCCCCCTTCAGTGGAGAGTGTCAGCTGTGGTGAATAATACAGCGCTCCTACAGAGTACTGGTGTCAGAGTGCTGTTGCTGATGGAGAACTGGTTTTAGGTGGTTATAAATGATCGACATTATGGAGCTTTACATCTATATTCATGCTGTAACACTAGTGAGTAGAACACAGATTGAGGATTACATGGCTGTATGGCTTCCATATGTTGCCGGAATATTCCTCCCTGTCACTGCTGGAAGGGATTTTCAGTGAAACCTTGAGACGGCAGCTCCTGTTTTTTCACCTGAGATTTCAAATAGCTGTGTCCTGGGGGAGTGGTGTGAGCCCTGACCTGCATAATTTCCTCAACCTCCATGTGTCCCAGGGGAAGCATTGTTTTGATACCTGAGCTAGTACAGAGTGCTAAATGATTCAGAAAAAAAAATAATTCCTGTAGCTAACTCAGCTACCATTGTGAACAGCACAAAAAATTTAACCCTACTTTAGGTCTTCTGTAGACTAGAGCTCCTTTCTATCACTGTGAGAGTACTTGCTATCTGGAGACCAATTTGATTTTATGTGAATTGATGACTGTTTTTGCTTGCTTTGTGGCATTCTTTAAGCCTCTTGACTTGAGATTGCTGTATAGCAATTTGTAGATGAACCCTGTTGAGCCAGGAAGGCTTTGGGGTGTATAAATAGAGCACAGCCAGGAAGAATTGAAAGGCTTTTCTAGTTCTTGCATATTTGTACTGACACTTGGGTTTCATATGAGCAAGGTTAAACTGCTGAGAACATAGCCGGAGTGGTGGAGTTGAGTCATCAGACCTCTGCCTCAAGCCAGGTTGTTCTCAACTTTCTTTTCTGTCTTGCAGAATGGAGATGTATGTATTTCAATTCTTCACCCACCTGTAGATGACCCGCAAAGTGGAGAGCTGCCATCTGAGAGGTGGAACCCTACCCAAAATGTCAGGTAACTGAATTTGATGTTCAGGGGTGACCTCGAATGCCTGTTGTCTCTCTCCAAGAGTGAGGCCTGTGTTGGGAGTTGTTTGGAAGGGAATTTAAGGCTTTAGGGCTTGAATCAAGTGGGAACCAGACTTACCGAGCTGTGCTGTGTCCTGATACTGGGCTTACAGTGTGGAGCCTTCAGTCCTGTTCATGGGGTTTCATGCTTTTTTAAAGCAAATTATCTTAAATGCTCTAGCATTTACCAGTCGATGTTATCCTACACTTAGGTTTTTCCAGCTCCTCCAAAATATCACTAGTGATAAAGAATATTTTTGAGTATTCAGGCCCAGTAGGAGTAGCTTGGTGCATAGTCCTTCCTACTGTTTGCCTTACAATATTTGTCTCAGTCTTCTGTCCTGCAGCATAATATCTTGAGTAGTCAGCCAGGTAGTTTTCCTTCTGCCAGAAAAAATGAAGGATAGTGATCCAGTGAGTACCAGAAGCATCCAAGGCTGAGCTCCTTTTTTTGTTTGTTTTTTTAAACACCAGCTGAATTTCATTCTCATTACAGGACACTGCCGATAAAGAACTGACTAGGTGACAAGCCTCAGTTCATAGTTAGGAAACAAATTTGGGCAATAATTAATTATATCACACACAAAATTTCATATCATAGAATCATAGAATGGCCCAGGCTGGAAGGGACCTTAGAGATCATCTAGTCCAACCTCCCTGTCATGGGCAGGGATGCCACCTCTTGACTACACCAGGCAACACATGAGGACCGAGCGAGAATCGAACCCACGACCTCGGTGTTGTCCTTGTTGTCAGCACTGCGGTCAAACCGCTGAGCTAACCGGCCCCCATGAAATTTCTCATGGTGCTAGTTCTCCAGTTTCAGCCTTCCCTGCCATGAGGTTTTTGGTGCTTGCTCTTGGAACGTGTTGGGCTTGAGGGTGACCTTTCGGGAGAAAACATTCCTCAGCTGTATCAGCAAACAGAAATAAAACTAGTTCTTAAATGCTCTCCTGCTGCCAGCATCACCGGTTGGGCTCGGTGCCAACAGAAACACGTCCCGCTGGGGTCCCATCTGGCTTTTTGAGGCTCTGCTGTCAGACAGGAGGTGGCAGGGCTGAAGGTGTGGGAGGGGAGCGTGCTTGTTGTCATGTGTATAACCAAGGGCTTCCCGCCAGCTGCTGAATTTTGTAAATCCTGCCGAGCGTTGACCGTTCACTGCAGACGACTGTGGTTGAAACGTGTGGAGAGGGGGATGTTGTTCTTCAACCCTGACAGCACCCATGCTTCCACCTCTGACGGGGTCATTAATTTTTTTTTAAACACAGTCAATATCACTCAGAGCTAGACGTGGAGGAATGCAGCCGTCATCTGTGTGGCAGAGAATACTGCTTTTCTTTTTGTCCAGAGACCCCTAAAGCTGAGGAGGGGCTTAGAGTTGAGGCTTTTTGATCATTTTAGTTGTTCTCTCTATCTCCCGTCTCCGTTCTGTCCTTTGAGCTGCACAGGCCAAAACTGAGCACAATATTCCAGATGTTGGTACACCTGTATCTTGTGAAGGTAGGTGGTGTCCTGTCTCACTATTGCCTTGTTTCCTGAGGATACTCATTTTTGTTGGGTTTTTTTTTTGGCTACCTAAGATCTGGACAGTTTTCACAACCAGCTCAGTGCACTGACATGACTGTCAATACAGCCTAAGCAAAATCTTTGTACTTTATGCTGGAGAACAGAACAATCTAATACCTACTTCTAAAGGTGCCTCTGAGAGGCTACAATATGGATAACAGCTGGAACAAAAAAACAAATGTCCTTTTTCAATAAGGTACATAACAGTGTGCTGGTTGGGAGCACCAGCCGGTCCATGTTATGTCTGTTTTGGATGAAACTTACCTGAACCTTATGTTGATATGAGGAAAAGGGCACTTAATGGGTTATCTGCTTCCTTGAGCCTCTGCTGGCTGCTTTCTCCTGCTGGTAAAGGGACACAAAGGGACTCATTCTGAAGACAACAGCCCTGTAAACTCTTAAAACAGCTCACTGTTCCCCAGAATGGGGTGGGGGGTGTAGAAAAGAAAAAAAGCAGGCTTGAAATCCTCACTCTTCATGCACTTGGCTTGCGTAAACCAACATGTTGGAACAACCTTGCCTGAGGGAGAAACAGATCTGTTCGAGAGGGTCTGTCTGTACCCAGTCCAATGGAGTTTGTATCCTGCTGAGTATGTTTTCAGTCCCACAGGAACTTTTTCTTGTGGTTTTGGTTCTCCTGGATCCCATGTGCTGGGATCCCTTCTTGTTTTTAGCATGTCTAGTTCATCTTGTTTACCCCCAGCAGCAGTGTTTCTGTCAGAGCAGAGCATCCAGCTCTTTAGGGATCAGCAGCAATGGAGCGAAGGAGGGCAGAGAGCTGCAGCTCTGACAGGCAATTGCCCTGGTGCATTTAAGTAGCTTTGCGGTGGTTTTGGAGTCTGGGGCACTGCGGTGGAAATCAGCCTCTCTTTGCTTTGCTGATGGAAGAGTGGTAGAGCAGCTGCTCAGTCCTGTCCTCAGCCTTCCTCAGGCTCTCTTTGCTCTTGCAGTGGTGCTGGAGCTGACATGCTGGCTCTGCTGCCTGTTTGCTGGGCATCAAAGGATTTTAACTGACTTCTTGAGATGAAATAGAAGACAGTGTTTCTTCAGTCCATCATTCCAGTCTGACCAGACAATTTTTTCCAGAGCTGCTGTTTTCGTTTCCTTCTGAATTACAGGAATTGGAAAATAAATTGCATAAGACTCTCCTGATAGCTGTGCTGAACAGTTTGGCCAGACACGAGAGTTTAGTTTCAAAACCTTTAGAGAAGCTCAGCATCCAAATGACCAAGCGTTTCCTGGAATTGTCTCTCAGATATATGATCTGGTAGATGTGCTCAGCATGTGTGGTTCTGAATGTGACCCTAAATCAGTGCAAGCACAACTAGGTCTGTGGTCATGAATCAAATTCTGGAAAGCCGTTTCTATGGACTATTGTATTTCGAGACTTAGTCCTTGTCTCTTACTCTTCCCTTCCATTTAAATCAAAAGTCCGAAGTGGTGCTGCCAGGAACCACACGTGAAACTCCGGTGGTAGTAGCTACAGCCAGGGACTGGGTGTGCAGAGCTGCCTGACGGGACTCACTGCTGGGTTTTGTGCTGGTTGTGGCACTGTGTGAGCAGCGAAGGGCTGAGTCTCTGAAGTGCAAGGGGTTGCAGGAAATACAGGAGGAGGTTCTGGGCGAGGGAGGTGCTGTTCGCCCCTGGTAGCTGCGGGCAGAGCTGGGCAGCTGTGTAGCTCTGTGCTGCTGCTGGGTGATCCGGCAAGGCTGGCTGCCTGCTGGGGTCTGCATGCCTGGCTTATGGTGGCTTTGCCAAGTACCAGCAGCCAAATCCTGCCGGGCCTTTGGTGGCTTGCCTGGATATTGAAAAACATCTGCACTGTCTTCCCTTTGCTGTGCTCCGGAGCTGCCACAGCAGCGTTAGTGATGCGTGAGCTGAGGAGAGGTGAGACCTGGCCACAGCTCCAACCTCTTGACACACCGTGAGGCAGGGAAAGCAGTGCAGCCTTATCTGCTCGCCTTGGGTTGTGGTGATCCTTCTCCCTACACAGGGTAGGCAGAGAGCCTAGCCTTCTGCTGGGAGGCTAAACACCACCAGGAACAGGCTCACCAAGAGGGTTTCCAGCCCTGCACCATCCATGGGTGGTGTGGACAAAGCTGAACTCTGGTCTGATCCTAGTTTTGGCTGCTGCCCTGTACAAGCATGTGCACAGGCGTGGTGATCTATAGTCAGATGAGATCCTTGAGGCTTTTATCATGTTGCCTTCCCTGGGCTGATGGCCAGCATCTGAAGCTCATAAATAAATACCTATTCCCACTTCAGATGTCATCCTTAGTTATCCTTAGCTTAATATTTGACTTCAAACAAGTTTCTGATGCATCACCTGGAGAAGTTGTCGGCATCCAGAACCTGTGAATGCACTAGCTCTGACTCTGCTGTTGTGGTTACCTTTTTCAGGACTATCTTACTAAGTGTAATCTCTTTGCTTAATGAGCCCAACACATTCTCTCCTGCCAATGTGGATGCATCAGTCATGTTCAGAAAATGGAGGGACAGTAAAGGAAAAGACAAGGAATACGCTGAAATCATAAGGTAAGCTCTGCCATGTGTGATGCTGTGCTACCAGCCTCCTGCTTCGAATCCTATAAAACAGGCTACTTGCACAATTTGCTGAAAACAGCTTCTTGCTGTGGTTGCCTCTTTGGGAATTAATTCTGCCCTCTTATTCCAAGTCCATGCTTCTGGTCCCTCTAGGATTTTCAGCGCACAAAAGCAGTGCAAACTTCTGGAATGGAAAGACTGTGCCGATCTGTCTTTATATTGTTCTTTTTTTCAGACTAATCTGGCACAATGCTCCATAAAACCTCTTGGCTGCTCATAAATCCCCATTGAAGTTCCTGCTTGCCTTTGAGCACCACCCGCGTTGCTTGGGATGTGAATCGAACTGACTGCATCCTTCTAATTCTGTGCTTCATGCACTCATGAATCATAATCTTGTCCCTCCGACTCAAAGGAGTATCAGCAGGTTTTGGCAAGTGTCCGCAGACCTGGGTTTGACTGGCACTGTTCAGTCTGGACTGTCCTTAGCAGAGATGTTCACGGTTCATCGGGTGCTGTAGGGAGGTGATGTCAGCTAGAGCCAGGGTTGCTGCAGAGCAGCGGACGAGCAGCCCGCACGGCAGCGGGACCGCCTCTGCATGGAGTTGGCTGGCCGGGCGTGCAGGGTGCACCCCAGGTTTGAGCCACGCAGGGCAGTCGGTCTGTGCAAAGAGCCTCCCTGGGAGGTTGTCGTAGTCCCCTCCAGCTCCCTCGGCTTCAGTGGAGCTGGATGTAGTCCATGAGCAGAGTGTGGCACGCTGCTGAGCAGGAGGGACAGGCTGCCATCTGCTCCTCTCCCTGCCAGGAGGCAGCACCAGCCGGCAGCGGGTCACAGCCAGAGCCTGTCCCGGGGTGACGGGAGATGCCGTTCTCCTGTCAGCGCTGCGCAGTGCCGGGGTCATGGTGGTGTCTCAGGGTGCAGCCACATGCTCTGACTGCTCTTACCCTCCAGCGGGAGCTCAGAGCTGCCAGATGCTTGTGGGAGTTGCAGTTCTGAGCGCGCAGGGGTAGAGTTGTCAGCAATTGGAGTCAGTCGTCTCAGGAAACCCCTGACCACATCTGAAACTTGCTCTGAGCTCTAGCAGGTCTCTTAGTGCAGAGTCCTGTAGAATAACTGGTTTCATATGTTGCTGAGAGCGTGTGTGCTGTGAACACTCTTGGAGCGTTCCCAAGCCCCCAGGGCTGCAGGAACTAAATCTGTTCCTAATGCTGCTTGTGGTGCTTCAGCCGAACATCAGCTCTCCTGACTGGGAGCTGCCAGGAGGGCTGGGCTGGGGCTGGGGCAGGCTGGGTTGTGGGAATTGAGCCGCACTGCTGCCAGCCCGCTGCCCTGCTCACGTTGCTGTGTCCTCCTCTCCGCAGGAAACAGGTTTTGGCTACTAAAGCTGAGGCAGAGAAGGATGGTGTGAAGGTCCCCACTACGCTGGCAGAGTACTGCATCAAAACTAAAGTGCCTTCCAATGACAACAGTTCAGATTTGCTTTATGACGACTTGTACGATGACGACATTGACGATGAAGATGAGGAGGAGGAGGACGCCGACTGTTATGATGACGATGATTCTGGCAACGAGGAGTCGTGACCTGCTCCCTCTGTGCCCCTGTACTGCCCTGCCAACTCAGGCCGGAAGGGAGCAGCGGTAACCTAGCAGCAGTCCAGCAAAAAAGTGTGTGGGGGGGATCAAAAAACTTTTTGTCTCCTGCTGTCTCCTGTTGTATGGATCTGTTTGCTCCTTTTTTATGGACCTCTTAGAGACCCTCCACAGAATGTCTGAATTCTTGCATTCTTAACCCTTTCATCACTGTATTATGATTTCTTTTTAAAAAAGAAACTCCCCTTTTCACTTCTCTACGAAACGCTCACAGCGAAACAGGTTTGCTCGCGTTTAGATTCTTGAATTAAATACAGTCTTGCATTGAGATGTTTAATGTATTTAAAGCTGGAACAAACCCAATGGAAGCTGGGTTTTCGGGAGCTCAAGTGCTGCATTTACTGGGAAGAAAAAAATCCACACAAAGCAAATTGCCAAGGTTTAGCTGCTCCATTTACAATAATAGCGTGTGTACATTCGTTTAGCCTTGTGGTGGTGGCTTTTCCTTTATAAGGTGTGGGGCAGAGAGTGTAAAGCTACTGTGTGTTGAGCTTGATGGGATATCACTGAAAGGTACAGTATTCATTTTCAGCCTGCTCAAGTTAGAAATAGCTGGCCCCTGGAACCCCAGAGGGCACAATCAGCTTTGTCTCTGAAAAAGGCTTGTGATATGAACCCTAAAATAAACACTTAACAGTTCATGTCTGCACAACAGAGCCCTGGGTTGCTATTTATTTTTAGTATTTTTTTATTTTTTCAGACTTGGTTGGGGTTGAGAAAGTTCAGTTTAGCCATGCTGCTGAAATCTGCTGCCAGCTGCCCCTCTCCTGAGGGAGGAAAACAGATTTGCATCCCGCTGCCCAACAGGCCAGTGTTCATCCTCAGCTTCTTTTTGGCAGCAGGAGAGACCGATAGCCTCCTGCCCCAGCGCTCGCCAGCAGCCCTTGTTTCCTGCAGCGCAAATCCAGTGCTGGCCTGAGCCTCCTTTCTGTTGCTTATGTAGGTCCCACGTTGGTAACCGCGGTTCTGGTGCAGCCCTGTCAGAGGGCCGGCCGCAGTCAGAGCTGCTTTGGTGCCTGCTGAGGGTGCCCAGACTGTCCCGGGGCTCGGGACGCAGGGCACGG